AGCGCAAAAAACCCAAGCCTCAGCCGAGCAGCTCTGACGATGACCTAGATGCCGTGTTCTCCAACAAGGAGCTTCAGGAGGAAAGCGATCCTAACTGGCCCACCGACGACCAAACCGAGGAAGCTGAAAGCGAGGCTGGTGTCAGTGACCACCTTGAAAGGCCTGAGGATGTGGAACATTGCAAAGAACTGAGCACTGTAGTTGTCTCTAGTGATCAACAGCTTCCGTCGGTGCTTCTACCCCTGCAAAACCCACAGTCCATCAAAAAATCCCCCACTCTAAACTACCACTCTCAGATGGCTCGCCAGAACTCCCTCTCAGATCCCCCATCCAACTACGATGAAGGATGTGTCTCGGACTTGGGAACGTTGAACAGTACCAGTTCCCAGGCCTCAGGTCCGAGGACCAGGCAGGGTAGGATACCGGGCAATTGGGCGGAGAGCCTAGGAGCAGCTGAGGTTTGCTCAATCACCTCGGATTACTCTACTACTTCCTCAATGACCTTCCTGACAGGAGTGGAGTCCAGCGCCTTAAGCCCAGAGGTCCGCTCAGTGGCCGAGAGCAGAGGGGATGATGCGGACGACGAGAGGAGCGAACTGATTAGTGAAGGAACGTGGAGGCACATGGAGACAGACAGCGAAAGCGACCTTTCAGTCTTCGCGGCTGGCAGAGAAAGCATTCAAGCAGAGGAAAGCAGCCTAGCAGAAGATAGAGCCACACCTATGCAAGATGCTCCAAGCCTCATAGCATCCCACCGCATCATAGCTTGCGATACCCTCTCCCGCAAGAGAGGGAGCCGACAGAAAACAGACAGTGAGTCTTCAACCGATGGTGCACGCAGTGAAAAAGAATCTGGCAGGATGTCCAGGATGCTGGAGCCGGTCAAAAGCAGACCAAGTGGCAGCCCAAATCTGTCTCGTAGCGAGTCCGAAAGAGAGAGATTCGAACCCGTTTGGCGCCTCAAGATCACGGACAGGCTCAAGTGCCGGCTGCGGTCGTCCGCAGACGACATGTTTGGAGTGGGATCCCAGCGCACCAGATCGCCTGAGACGCGCAGCAAGAGGAAGACCAACATCCGGCGGCGGCACACAATGGGCGGCCAGAGAGACTTCGCAGAACTTTCGGTCATCGGCGGCTGGCAAGAGACAGGGGGTGCCGAGCTCTCGGCCATGGATCGCTTGAAGCCCAAATGCAGCTCCCAGGACTTCTCCATCACGGACTGGATAGTGCGAGAGCGCCATCGCGCCAGCAACCCAGAGGTGAGTCTGGACACTCTGGACTTGCAAGCCTCCCGGACCCTGGACTTGTTTTCCGCTGGGCCCTCGCGCTCCTCCTCCAACACCATGCAAATGCTGAACGGAGATGCGGCTGCCGCTCAGAGCAAAGGCCTCGACGCCCACCCACACAAACTCTCCGGCACCCAAGTGGTGCGGTCCCGTTTCTATCAATACCTGTGAAAGAGTGGTCTGTATGGGTGAATGTTTGAGGAGATGTCTGTGGGTGAGTGAATGAAGGTCTTTAGAGGCGAATGTTGAGTTGGGTGTGTTTTTAAGGACCTCGAGTGTCCGCGAGGTGAGAGAGAGAGAAGCTTTTATATGTGCAAACGGTACTGACGCAGTTCTTTGACAGGCAGGCTCCCACTGACTCTCAGAGTCTGCTCTAATTTCCTCCCTCTAATCAATTTACTCATTGACCCAAGGTCGCACAGTGAAGAGAGGCATCTCTCACCTTAGACCTGGTGAACCCCCAGTATTGCTGGAAGACTGCATGGGCCACATTTCCACTGGAATTAAGGTGCGAGAGGGTGGAGTCGTGGCGGAAACTCGAAGATTCGAGCCTGAAAGTTCTCGGAAGTAGGTCATAGTAGGGTTGAATAGGATGTTGATCAGACAGGCTTTAGTGTCTTTAAGTATTGCTAGACTTTTCGTTGCAAGTGTAAGGAGGTCTTCTCAATCGTGATCGGTCCTTCCGTAACCAAAATGAAGAATGTATCTTATCTGCTTGCTGTAATACTTAGAAAATGCGTACTTGGCGCGCGTCTTTATTTTTAAGTGTACATAGCCCCCTCCCCTTCTCTGTACTTGAAACGGTTTCCTCCTTTCCTCCACCCACTCTTTTCCGGATTGCTTCGTGTGCCGTGTCGTGGGATAGTGAGTATTTTTTATTTTTTTAAACCAGCGCATGGCAGGAGCCAGACTCTCTGCTCATGCCGACGAGAACTGATCAGCTTCTAGGATGAACGTATACCAAACGCCTCTCCGATGCAATATGCAGCGTAGCCTATGTATTGTGTCATAATGACCATCATCAGTTACTGCAAAAAAAAAGGAGGGAGTTTAGTTTGGGATAAAGCTGGATTATCAGATTCCATGTTTCTTAGATTAATGAAGGTGCCTCACTGGAACAGCATGAAACAGTCTGCGAGAGTGCCATAACTTTCTGTTAAACACTAAGACGTACTGTGAAAAGATGAGTCGTTCTTCAGGCCTGACTAACAAAGATGGGGGAAAAACTATATATATATATATATATATATATATATATATAAAAATTACACAAAAAGCTTCCTTTCCTTTGGCATTCCACTTTGGTCTTAACACGTTTTTTACTGTTTCATTTTCGGTATTTTAACCAGACTTGAATTTTAAATATTCCTGTAAAATAGGTAACTTAAATGTACATATCTATTCCATGTTTTAGCGCCTCGTTTCTCCCATCATGTTCTGCTTTAGTTTCTTTCTGTAAGTATTGTACGATACAGGCGTGTAGATAGGGGACCGGTGGGCGGGGGAGGGCAAGACTGGACCATGTTAATCATCTCTGGGGGGCTTGAGCCCCTGTGTGTGAAAAGAAAAAAAAAATGCTTCCTTGACCGTTTGTATCATGCTGTGTCCACTCCAGAAGTGGCAGGACATACAAAACACTGGAAAATAAAATGCTTTATGTCTGACCGAGAACTGGACTGAGGGATTTACTATTAAGTCGGATGCGTTGATGTTCTACTGTTTTGTGTTTTACGCTAGTGCCTTACAAGATCATGGGTGACCTAAAAGGGACTGAAGTGGAAAAGCAGATGCTCTTCACTTTCTTGAAATAAGAGTTCAATGTAGTTTGTAAACATTTTAAAGCTTCCAGAATGTACCAGTTTATGCAGTTCCTACATGGAAACTAAGATCTGCAGTTATTGTTTTTGTGATAGCCCAATCACATTCAAGGTTTTGAGACACAATACAGAGCAACCAATCAGAACAGGGCTCTTTTACATACATTTTAAAGACCCAGTGAGAGAAAAAATCTTTAATTCTAACTGAGAAAACAGAAATGTGGGAAATGGTCATGTAAGAATGAATTAAGACTCTACTGGTACATAAACTGACACCAACTCCTACATTGGACAGGTACAGGAATCTGTGCTGCCTTTGATGTAACTCGGAAGTGGTCATTGTTTTTGATTTCTGCATGTCGGAGCTACACAGTGAGGATCTGTAGCTCATGATGAGTGATGACTTTGATGTTGATGATGGTATTTACCTTCTCAAAGCTACGCAGCCCTGCTGATGCCATCCTGTACAAATAAAAATTACGCGTGGCCACAGCATATTAACACGCAGGAACGAGATAAGTTGTGGCCATGGATTAGTAAGGCATGCGAACGAGATCCTAATGTGTGGCCACAACTTAGTAAGGCATGGGAATGAGACAGTTAAGCCTTGACCACAGCTTAATAGGGCATGATCTTGTTCCCATGCCTTACTATGTCATGGCCATGATTTATTAAGGTGTGAGAACAAGATAATTGTCTTGGCCATGACTTTATAAGGCGTGCGAACAAGATCCTAATGTGTGGCCACAACTATGTAAGGCGTAGGAATGAGAGTAAGCCTTACACAGCTAGATCTTATTTCCATGCCTTATTAAGTCATGGCATGACATAATTATCTCATTCCTACGCCTTACTAAGTCATGGCCATGACATGGTAAGGTGTGGGAACAAGATCCTTACTTGTGGCCACAGCTTAGTAAGGCGTGGGAATGAGATAAGCCTTGACGACAGCTTAATAAGGCATGATCTCGTTCCCATGTCTTATTGAGTCATGGCCACGATTTAGTAAGGTGTGGGAACAAGATAATTAAGTCGTGGCCATGACTTAGTAAGGCGTGGGAATGAGATCCTAATGTGTGGCCATGACTTAGTAAGGCGTGGGAATGAGATCCTAATGTGTGGCCACAACTTAGTAAGGCATGGGAATGATATAAGCCTTGACAACAGCTTAACAAGGCACGATCTCGTCCCCATGCCTTATTGAGTCATGACCATGACTTAGTAAGGTGTAGAAACACGATAATTAAGTCGTGGCCATGACTTAATAAGGCATGCAGACAAGGTAATGTGTGGTTAAGCCTCGACCACAGCTTGATCTCATTCCCACGCTTTACTAAGTCATGGCCACACATTAGGATCTCATTCCCACATGTTAATACAGCGTGGCCACTTATTATTTTTGTTTATACAGGATGTCACCAGCAGGGCTCAGTACAAATCAAAATGGTCAGTGTTCCAACCAGCCGCTGTCTGTACGTTGATTGATGTGGAGCAAATCCTGCTATAATCTTATTAAAGTGGAAACGTGGTTTTATGTCCACAGACATGACGTCACCTCAGACAACACCTTTCCGAGTGGAAAGTTCCAGTAGAGCGGAGTTTTGTTTTTCCTATTCTTAGGTCAGAAATTCCATGTTTCAAGCTTTATTCAGACACAGCATCATTCATTGGTGGTTGACGTGATCTTGGACCTGTGCAAGCAGTCTGTTGTTTTAAGTGTGAGGCTCTGGTAGATGTGACATTTTTTCACCACAAGGTGGCAGAAGAGCACCACTGGAATGACAGAGGTAAGTGGAGCGAGTGTGTTTTGTTTCATTTAAGGAAGGTTCTTCTCTCTGCTTAGCAGAACCAGCAATGAGGAAAAAACATCTGCCTTACATAAAACCAAACAAAGAAAAAAGCTTTCAAAATGCTTTATGTACAAGTTACACACAGTAGGGACCAAAACAGTTTTGTAATTTACACGTTTGTACATCTGCAGACAAGACAAGGTTTTCGCTCACAACAGTACATTAAAGTGGAACCACAGAAGGACATTCAAGCTGTCAGAAGTCACAACATTTAAATAGATCTTTAATAACCAAAACAAAAGGAAAATAAAAAAAAAGTTTACTTGCTAGCATGCCGAATTAAAACAAAAGAAATTCTGTACAAAAATGTGCCTCGAGGACCTTTTGGACATGATCACAGCCATTAATATGAAACAATATAGTAGAAGGGAAAACCAACTGTAGAGTTGTACCTGATGACGTAAGCTAGATTATGAATACAGGTTTAAAATTCACTATTCAGCTACAGCCAAACTGACTGGAATACTAGCAAGTTTGGATAAGATGCAGTGGCAAGGATCTGACATGGTTCAGCTTTTTCACAATGTAAAAATCTATTATTTCCATGTTAAACACTTCACGGACAGCCCATCTCGTACAGCTTTACTTCAGTAAGGCACAGTGACTAAAAATAATAACCTCAGATTCCACGTCCTCAGCTGTATGAACTAATCGGAACAATGTTTAAAAACCACATCGATTTCTAAGCCGACCCATTCACGAATGAACTGAACACTATGTTAGGCCCTAATTCGGAAAGCTGCTCACGGGCCGTTTATTACTAAATATCAATTTAAAGCTACTGTACTGTAACAGATACTTGACCGAACAAGAAGTTCCACATTATTAGATAAGAAGGACAAATGAAGGAGGAAGTGTCTGAATATCCTTTACAGCTTAACAAAAGGACCTTATTGAGCTCAGTAATTGAATGCAAGACACTGAAAAGTAACAGAGAGGGGTGGCACTGGGGAGCTGGACTGATTGGATTTCCTTTCTTTCCTCTTCGCCACTGCCCTAAATGAGTTGTGCTATCGTCCGCTCAGAAGTTTCCATCATCGGTGCATGACACGAGAAACCGCAACCGGAAGGGTAGCTGCGTCACTTCCAGCTCAGTTCACACGAGGGCGCTCAACAGCCAGGGTGGTTTGTTGGGAGGCAGACAAAGAAGAAATGTTCGAGTCCCCTCCTCGGCTCACTCAGCTGACGCGTCACACTGCTTCCTCCTCTGTGAACCTTTCTGGTAGCCGGCTGGAGGTGAAGGGCTCAGGTCCATGCAGATGTTCGGGATGACCCATCTGAGACGGAAATGAAGATGCAGGGGGTTCAGAGGGGAGTTGGGGGGGCAGTTTGCATATTGGGCTATAAGCTGGCCTGCGCTGGGCTCTGAGGGAGGGCGCGTTTGGGGGGGTTGGGGGTTTTAACCATCATCCTCGTTCTCCTGCTCCAGCTCCTCCTCGCTCGCCACCTCAGGCGGCCTGAAACACACCTCAAAGAAGTTGACGAGCGACTGGCTCAAGTGCTGCCGGGAACCCTCGGAGTGGATGAAGTGGCCCTCATCTGGGTAGATCTGGGAAGAAGGACAAAAGTAATGAGAGGCCGGAACTGCCACGGTCGTTATACAGCAGTGATGAGCATTTGGCTCTTTTCAGTGAGTCAGATCGACTGTAGGAATCAATTCTTTCAGCTCCCAAACGGCTCTTCGTTCACAAGCATTGCCGGTTTTTTCTTTCCACTATTGGCCAAAGTGCCATTTTTAATAAAACCAGTCTGATTTCTTACTAAATGGCTAAAATAAAAAAGCCAAATGCAGGCAAATCCTTCAACCAGTCAACAAACAAAGGCAGCAACACAGAAGGACATGAGGGGACAGTGATTTAAGGGGCCACTATTGATCTCTATATGGGGTTCTGTGTAGAGCTCCTGATTATCTAATGTAGGGAACTGTGATTAAGGGGCCTTTCCTGATCCCTCTATGGGGTTCTGTGTAGAGCTCCTGATAATCTAATGTAGGGAACTGTGATTAAGGGGCCTCTCCTGATCCCTCTATGGGGTTCTGTGTAGAGCTCCTCATACCTAAATGTAAGGAACAGTGATGTAAGAGCCGTTACTGATCTCTATATGGGGTTCTATGTAGAGCTCCTCATATCTAATGTAAGGAACAGCGATTAAGGGGTCATTACTGATCTCTATAATGGGGTTCTATGTAGAGCGCCTCATGTCTAATGTAAGGAACAGCGATTAAGGGGTCATTACTGATCTCTGTATGTGGTTCTATGTAGAGCTCCTCATATCTAATGTAAGGAACAGCGATTAAGGGGTCATTACTGATCTCTGTATGTGGTTCTATGTAGAGCTCCTGATTATCTAATGTAAGGAACAGCGATTAAGGGGCCTTTACTGATGACTATAACAGGGTTCTACTGGAGCTCCTGATTATCTAATGTAAGGAACAGCGATTAAGGGGTCATTACTGATCCTTATAACGGGGTTCTACATAGAGCTCCTGAAAAAATTATGAAGGGGAGTCTTTGAGATGAACTCGCGCTGCCTGTGACCACAGAGTGAATCCAGAAAATAAGAGCAAAGGTCCACCACGAAATTATTCATGAAAACAAACCCACTCCAGTCAGAGGTTATCAGGGGAAAGTAAACGTCAGAGTCACTCAGAACAGAAAGGAAGCTGCTGGTAATTATAGGCTCTTACCTGTAATGTATAATTAGCCTTTTCATTTATTAAATGGGTTATAAATTTTGCAGTGTGCTGGAAATGGACTTTTTCTGTGGGGAGACAGAGATTAGCAATTAGTCGTAATAATGACAGGCTGTAGAAATGTTTAGGACTTGGGCTTCACTTTAGTTTGAGAAAGAAAAATCCACACATGGGAAGAAAAAATGTATTACCGTCAGCTGTAGGGTGAATAATTAAGAACTTCTTATCTTCTAGTCTGCCCGAACGCTGTGCTAAACTTGACATCTGTTCAAAATAAATATGATGTATTATTAGAGGAAATGTGAGAAGGTTATTTATTCAGATTCTGAGAGGAGATTATAATTACCTCATACACTCTCTGATTGGATCGAGGTAATCCTAAATAGCGCTCGGAGAACGCTGAGGCTGCAGAAGACACAGAGCATCGTTAGAAATACTTGAGCTGATGAAAAGAACATATAAATACATCCAGATCAAGGCCAACATTAATACACACACTGGCCACTTTATTAGGTACCGTGTTTCTACACTCATTGTCCATTTTATCAGCTCCACTTACTATATAGGTGCACTTTGTAGTTCTACAGTTACAGACTGTAGTCCATCTGTTTCTCTGATACTTTGTTAGCCCCCTTGTACCCTGTTCTTCAGTGGTCAGGACCCCCATGGACCCTCACAGAGCAGGTACTATTTGGGTGGTGGATCATTCTCAGCACTGCAGTAACACTGACGTGGTGGTGTGTTAGTGTGTGTTGTGCTGGTCTGAGTGGATCAGACACAGCAGTGCTGCTGGAGTTTTTAAACACTGTGTCCACTCACTGTCCACTCTATTAGACACTCCTACCTTGTCAGTCCACCTTGTAGATGTAAAGTCAGAGACGATAGCTCATCTGCTGCTGCACGGTTTGTGTTGGTCATCCTCTAGTCCTTCATCAGTGGCCAGTTTCTGACCACAGAACACTGTATATATTTGTTTGGTGGACTATTCTCAGTTCCAAGTGCTGAGAATGATCCACCACCTAAATAATACCTGCTCTGTGGGGGTCCTGACCACTGAAGAACAGGGTAATAAAGTATGCAGAGAAACAGATGGACTAGTCTGTAACTGCAGAACTACAAAGTGCTTCTATATGGTCAGTGGACCTGATGAAGTGGACAATGACTGGATACAGGGTACGTGTATCTAATAAAGTGGCCAGTGAGTGTACTGGACAACAGCGCAGAAAGCAAGTAGGCATGTTTGTAGAAGTGATGGTACCGTATAGGCTGAAATCGGTGATGGGAGAGACGACCGCTCCACATTTGAACTTGATGTTGTATTTGGATGGAGAGTCTTCAGCGCCCAACAGAAGGCTGGCGAGATATCCTCCATACACCTGCAGCACAGCAGTCCACAAACAGGTCAGTACAGAGAGAAAACAAGCCCCTTACCTAAAATGTACAGATCAAGGTTTTCATTTATTGACAACTAACTAAAATGATCGGATTTATGCTCCTGCTAGATGCTGCACTGCTACGGTCAGAGCCTAGTCACACTTCCACTACATGCATCTCATATCTGGATAATTAGAGGTGGGCAGTTCAGGTAATAATCCAACTCAGGATTTTGTTTCAGCTGCCTGGACAGCTTGAATAAAACAGCTGGAACAGAATTCTGGGGAGGATTTCTTCTCTTTGGACCTCAATAACCCTCCTAGACCAAATACGACCCACACCGAACATAAATGCATCTCTAACAGAAGATGGCAGGAGAATGTTGCCAATTACACTGGCCCTTTACTAGAAGGTTGTACATCAGTGGTCACCAGGCCTGCTCCTGGTTGGAGATGAAACCTGCAGGAAGGCAGGTCTCCAGGAGGAGGGTGGGACACCACTGTTGTACATGTATGTCGTGTGCCAACAAGAGCGAGTCTAACCTACTTAGAAAGAAAACATGGATTTAGACTCCCTGGAGGTTTAAGACTGTTACAAGAGGACAGTGCAGGTAGTCTGACTGACAGTCACTCACTATGCACCATTAATCTTTCAATCATCTATGGATGAAGTTATAATCTCAGGGCCACACCTTTGTTTTTACATAATCTTAACTTGGGAGGAGTTAATATTACGTGTAGTTAGAAGAAACAGATTTCCTCTCATTCCCCAGGGTATATTTTGGTTTTTCCATCTGAACTTACAGACCCAAATCAGGCAAATTATTCAGTAACTGCATGAAATAAATGTAGTGTTGGTGCTTTCAAATTAACAGAAAAAATCAAATATTTTATGATCATAAACATATTACTATATGCTTACAATTTACTGCTGAAAGCCAGAAAGCTTAGATGCTCTTTGTATTTGTTTATAAAAATAATTTTTACAGAGCAGATCACTGAAGAGACGCCATCTGAGATCCAGATTACAGCTCAGATTTGAGGAAAAATGGGTCGACTTTCAGTAGAAAAAAAATTGTGAGTTCAGCTTCTTTTATTATAAGGGTTTAAAATTACATCACCATCTATTTGACTGGAAAGAAGACAGTTACAGCCTCATACGACCCCCACCTTCTGAATGTAGCTTATGAAATATGAAAGTTATGAAGTAAAGAATATGACTAAGTGTGTTTTGGAACCACCGGTGGTTCCACAGAGTTAAAGAGGATATCTTTACATTTGGTTCATGATGTGATCAGATTGCAGTCTGTCTCTTATGTGTCTTGGCTGCATTTATACTGAGCTTTTAAATGACTGGACGGCTCTCTGATCAGCCCGAAACTCAGCAAGTGGCCAAGTAAAACAGCCTCCAACAATCTGGGGTTTTAACTCCTAACTAAATGAAAATCTCTTCTAAAGTGTCATGTTGAAAGTAGCCTATATTATCAGAAATCCAATCAGGTGTTCTGGTGCTTATGACCTGGAAGGCAGCAGGATTCACTCAGTCGATGTACCGGAGCACCTGTCAGGGCACAAACCCAAATAACGAACGGCCTCCGTCGCTGCAGGTTTATTTTAAACCGAGCCTGTGCTCTGGCCTACTTTGGCTGAAATTCTCTGATCTTTGAGAGCCAGGCCTGCTTTAATAATTCATTTTGAGGCATTTCTGGACCATCGCAGGGCTCCAAATTTAATAGGAGAAGCATTTCCTCTCCGGTCAACCTTCTCCTACAGCTCTCTCCTCCTTTTGCATAACAACAGAGCAGCTTTTGTCTGGCGGTGATGAAAGTGTGGCAGAAATGAGCTACAATCATCTCCGTTTTCACACGAACCTCTTTATCTGCTGCTCTCAAAGAGGCTCGTTTTCAAAAGCTCTCCAGCGCTGCCTCTGGTTTGAGGCCCCTGAGGGATTTTTCTTTACCTTCCTCTGACGCTTTGGAAACGAGCATGACGCTAATTCAGCGTCTGCATGTCGTCTCTTCGTTGAGCTCGACTGGGGGATCAATCTCTGCTCTGCTTCTGAATCCCAACTTATTCCACACACACAGCTTTATTTAGGACAAGACTTTTTTGTGTTACTGTGTTTCTCACGGAGGAATAAAAGAACATGTCTATACGGAATTAGTTAATCATCTTGTTATCTTGAGATCACAAGATATTTAACTTATCTCAAGATAACAATCCAGAAAATGATAGAAACAGCTCATGGTCTCTCCGGACTTCCGTATGTTTGATTTTGACATAAACTGAATATTTGCATCTTTTTAAAAAATGGAGAATTTGAATTAAAACACATTTGGGACTTTTAACAGATCTTGGACTTTTGACTAAAATCTTTTTGCTTTGAGTGACCCTGTTCATTAATTATGTTTATTTTATTAAAACAAATGACTGAACATTCCACAACAAAACAATCATAACACTACTGAAACTGTACCAAATGTTTCAGTTGTGACGATTCTTAATGTTCCACACTGATTTTCAGACTTTGGGACACATTTACTTCAAAACACTGGGATCTAACTGCTCACCATGTGGCCATGAGGGACAGGGATGCAGCCTCACTTCCTGCTCTAAAATACATGGGTATGGCTAAAATAAGGCTCCACCTACAGACTAAAACACTGTTTTAGTAGTGACATGAAAACACGGGGCAGCATTTTTTTTAATTTAAACAATCTCAGGAAAATCTAAATCTTTCAAATTTAAATTAAAAAGATATAAAAACTGAACCTCTGTGCATTCTTTATTTGAAAAAGTTTTTGTCTTTTTGGCCTAAACCCATCATAAAACCTGCACTTTGGCCACCCAAGAGAAAATGTTTGGGCACTTTTGATGTACATACTTAATCCCCTTAATCCTTCATGCAGTTCAGTCATTAATCTTAAGACTTAAAAATATATACAGAAGTTTGGAGGCCTCTGGTCTAATAACATGTTTTGTTGGTTTTCTAAGTGAAAGTAAGTCAACATGTCTTCTATAGAGAACACAAATACGGCATTTTTTGGCAAATAGCGCACAATTTCTATTTATCTGGTGAGTTTAGCATATTGGAAGAAAATACAACATAAAATTCAAAATGTACTATAACTTTTGCACAATTTTTACTTTTTGTTTTTCTTTCAATCATAAATCAGTATGTTAAATTCAGTGAATAAACAGTAATTGTGTATTAATTGATCTCTGTAGAGGATTTTCCCCCTTTTTTCACAACATGTAATCACCCAAACGTTTACATACGACTGAGTTATGTAGAAACTGAAGGCAGTATAAATGATTCAGTAACTGCTGAAGTTAATATGTAAGTAAATGTGTTCACCCTCATACAGTGCAGTGATCAGAGTGAGTATATTTTATCAGTGTTAAGTTTGTAACCCACATACAGACAGTTAAAGAGGTTAAAAAGACAGTTTGGTGCTACAGCAGAACAAGTGGGACATTTACTGACCTGGTAAGCAGAAATTTGCACAAAACAATTTTAGGAGTTTAATAATAAACACATTTTCAGTTTAAATATGATCTTCAACTGTCAGGTCATGACTTCTATTTTAAAGTGTGTTAATGTTGTAGTTCTACAGAACTCTAATCCATTTAATCTACATGGGCTGGTGTTGGTCATCAGTTTGGCCGCCTTCTAACAAACTAATCACCAAAAATCACAACCCCTAGAATTCATAAGCTCTATAGAGAGAAATGCCCTGCTATTTGAGTGTGGGTGTGTCCCTAACATAAGCCCCGCCCCCTCTGTTTTGCTCACTGTGTTTTGTTTGGAAGAGAGTGAGGGGTTTATCAGCGACGCAGTTTTAAGCTGAACCCCAGAATGATGGAGAAGTGCTGACTTTATGCACAAAAAAAGCCCAAACATTCTCCAGTTCTCCAGTGTCTGCATTCTCCACCAGCACAACCTTTTTCTGCTGACTGATACAGTTCAGACCTCCGCTGGGATCAAGAGAAGCTTTCTCTCTCTCTCTCTCTGAGGTGAGGGCAAACACTGCGTGTGCATGAGGAGCAGCTGTGCTGCGGATGATCCCTTTGGGTTCTGGGAGACCAGAATATCAGTCTGATAAGCAGCGAGAGGCAGGTTAAGGACGGAGGACTTACCCTTCCATACACTCCGATTCTTGTTTTGTCCACGTACGACTCTTTTGATATGATGCTGCGGGAGAAAAGAAGACGGGCACAATTTAACCTTCAGTGAACCTCAATTTGTGTGCAGTTCTGTAAACAGAGATCTCTGGAGTCGTGAGTCGTTCTGTAGTTGGTGTCATTGCTGTGTTAGGAACTCTAAAGGGTCTAAGCTGGTTTCTTCTACGGGAAACACAAATGGTGTTTCTGAAAATCGCCGCTATCACGTCCTGTGGAACATTTGTTCCAAAGCTGATATGTTTTTGAATGTCACTGGATCCACTGAACTACAAAGTTGTTAAAATACAAATAATGCTATACACTGATCAGGCATAACATTATGACCACCTCCTTGTTTCTATGTTCATTGTCCATTTTAGCTTAGACCAGGAGTTCCTCATATGAGCACCCACTACAGAACGACGGGGTCTGTATAACTTCATCCTCATCCTCTGTGGTAGAAATCACTACAGCATGGTTTATACTTATATACAGTCAAATGTTTAGACGTTGTATGTTGTTTTAGAAGCTCTAACCTTAAAGCCTCCAGCTGATCCAGCTCCTCGATCTGCCCGAGCTTTCTCCTGACGCGGTGTAGCAGGTTGGTCCCCTGGAATCCGCTGCCCCGGCCGTCGAATCGCATCACGATGGTGCCGTAGGAGCTGACCAGCACTGTGGCCCAATCCACCTGGAACTGCTCTGTCACCATTTGACCACCAGGGGTCCCATCTCTGCCATAAACAGTGATTTAAATCGTCTATGTCATTGGAAACTGAATTTCCCTTACTTGTTTTTTAATAGGTTTGATGTATTAACATCAAACAATTTACATCACACAAACCAGAGCGCCCGGAGAACACCCGCGCAGACACATGGAGATACAGACACATCTCACTTTCAGAGGAGGAAACAAATCACACATCAAGACTGATTTCAATAATTACTTTAGTAAGCACCAGCATGGTTTCAGTGGCAACAGCACTGCTTTTTTACAGTTATAAATGCTTTCATTTGCTCATATTTACATAGTATGAATTATTTTTCTTCTTTGAAAAAAAACTTCTGATTCTCACGACTGACTGTTGGTCATAAACATCACACTTTCATGTGCACACGCACAAAGATTACTAGTTTGACCAGGGGTGCCCAATCCTGGTCCTGGAGATCTACCACCCTGCAGAGTTTAGCTCCAACTGTAATCTAACACACCTGATCCAGGTAATGAAGGCTGTTAGGGGCATCTAAATATCAGAGCCAAATGTGCTGGAGCTGAACTCTCCAGGGATCTCTAGGACCAGGATTGAGCACCCCTTGAGCTTGAGCATGACTATCTAAACCTGGATTAACAAAGAAAGCTGTAAACCGCCGTCGTAAAACGACTTAACTGGTTGAGTTAGTCTAAGCTGAACGTGCTTTAAGAGACAGGGCCCTGCTGCAGGGCAGGTTAAGTTAGGGATAACAGCTATTGGAACAGTCAGGGACAAACTTCTGCAGCCTACTGGTCCATCTGAGTACACAAAAAAAAAATCAAGGCACTAAAACAAGAAGTGGCCACATCAACCACTAAGGTGCCTCTTCCTGAACTTTGCAGGAAAAGCACTTATGAGAAATATTACTGTTCAGCAGAGAAATAAAAAAAAACCAAACACATAAATGTGTAGAATATAAAGTAGTTATAACTGCATAAACTTTAATAGCAAAGTCAAACCTGTCCAACAGGAGGAGAGATCAGAGACACTGACCTCTGGACACTGGACAGTCCAATCCTCAGCTGTGGCTTAAGTTATCTAACCTTATTATTTACTAACCTTATTATTATAACTGTGCTGTGTTGGGTGACTGCTACTCGCTGCTGTATTTACTTCAGGATCAATGTAGTACCTACCTGCCTGCCTACCTACCTACCTACCTACACACCCACCTACATACCTACCTACCTACCTACACACCCACCTACACACCTACCTACACACCCACCTACATACGTACCTACCTACAAACCTACCAACCTACACACCTACCCACATAACTACCTACATACCTACCTACCTACAAACCTACCGACCTACACACCTACCTACCTACCTACACACCTACCCACATAACCACCTACATACCTACCTACCTGCAAACCTACCTACCTACACACCTACCCACATAACTACCTACAAACACACCTACACTGAGAAATCCAGCTTTATGAAATACCATCCAGTCAATCTGTGACAGGTTTTACTCAGAATCTTCTCAATGGTGGGAAGTTTGTGCTGTTAAACTGCACATTTTCAAGTCACTGCATTCATTTTCCCTCCCTGAACAATCCCTCTATTTACTCTCTGCTCCAGCAAACCTGGAAAAGCGCAGTGAGCCAGACGCTGTATTTTGTCTCAGAATAGGATACGGGAGTTCTGCTCGAGTTGAACATCACTGTAACAAATAATCTCAGCAGGGTTCAGCCTTGTTCAGCCGCCGTCACGTGGTTGTTGTAGTGATGTTCTGGGTCCAGAGCGTAGCTTCCTGCATCTTGAGAAGTCCTTCAGCGTCCGCTGTCACCAAAACAGCAGCGGCTCAGGAGAGGAGAGGAACAGCTGGGCCTTTCCACTGCTTTGGCCTAATTAGCTCAAAAGTAGCACTGAGACTGAGCGTCGGTTTATGTAGAGCAAACAAAGAGAAACCTCATTAGAGGATTTCAGAGTTTTCCTGCTCTTGTCGTCAGCGTATATGGGGAGTACAAGTGTCTCAGCTGCCCTGACAGAGAAAAATTATGTCTAGGCAAGATATACCAACAAAATACAAACCTCCAAAAGGTTTTTACTCCAAAGAACGCATGGCATTTTTTCCTGTCTGCTTTGATTCAGAAAATATTCAAAGTTACTCAACAGAAAACAGTCACTGTCGTTAGAAACCCAACATTTACAGAAAGGAATAAACATTGTTAACATAAAAAGCTTGTATATGAGATTTTTCTTGTACCTTATTTTTATTAAGGACCATTTATGTAACATTTGTGTGATTTTAATGCTACAAAAACACTTCTAATTCATTTTCCCATGACCATAATCCAACCTCACTTTATGCTTTAGATTAAAACAGGCTTAAATTGTCCTTAAAATAAATCTAAATGTTCTGATTGGCTGATCTTGCCTCATTCAAAAAGCAGTCCGGGCTGAAACACTCCTTATAACTTCAGTGTGAGTGGGCGAGGCTAAACTGCTGTAGTCTGAACAGGCCTGTGCTTGGTACGTGTTGGTAATCACCAAGCTCTGATGAACAGCTGCGTCCTGGGTTTTGTATATTTGTCAGTCAGTGAGGGACTTACACGAGCAGCAGTAGGGGGTAGTGGGCCGTCTCTGTGAATCCCGCCGGCTTCTGGATCTGGATGGTCAGAGCTGTGAGGAAGAAAGTCATGTTGGTAAAGCAGCCCCCTTATCATGACCGGAATCTTTAATTATTACACTAAGGTGGCTGGAGGGGCTGCCTGGTACCCACTGTATTCATCAATGGTGATATCCTTGTACTCTACTTTGGGCATCTGCATGGAGCTGACCGTGCTGTTCAGCAAGTCGTTTGTCTCCACGTCCAGCAGTTCTGAACACAAGAAATGAGAAAACAGAAAATTACAGAAAGGCTGGAAAACTACATAGAGTATCAGCTTGTTTCTACACTCTAATCCCCACGTGTCAAACACAAGGCCCGTGCGCCAAGTCAGACAATCCTATTCGGCCCGCAAAATTAATTTAATGTTCTATTAATATTAGCCGATTTCACCATGAGCTGCACTACAGTGCCCAGCATGCACTGCAACGTAATGTGTGCTCCCACCCCTCCCCAACAATGATATATGGGACAGCAGCACAAAAAGAAAACAAAAAAAAAGACGCCAGGTGTCTGGTTCAAGTGAATGGGCAGTTTTAAAAGCCTACTGTCCTCTGGGGACATTTAAAGAGGTTTACCAGTATCTGCAGCTAATGTAGTCTATTATTTTACATAAAACAATTTGTTTTAATTTTAAATTATTTTTGAATCGTTCAAGTATTCAGTGCCTGTTTTTGCTGTTGTAGTTTTGGCATACTTTGAATAAACAATGGCCAGTGGGGGTCTTGGCAAAATAATAAGTAAAAGTAAAAAAAAACACAGCTGGCCCACAGATTTGTTGAGATTTTTTTCATTTGACCCTTTTAGTGGTTGATTTTGACACCCCTGATCTATTCCTTCATTCCAGCTTCACTTTTCAGGACACTCACTTTTAGTTTCTCAAAGAAATCTGCAGACACACCAAAGCTGCTGGTTTAGCATTTTCTTCTTCTCACCATCCAAGTAATCCCAAATAAGTTTAGACCATCAGTTCATAAAACCTGACTCCACATCTCAGATGTCCAGTTTTGGTGATCTAGTGCAGATGTTCTTTTCAACCTGTCTCCTTTTCTCAGTGAGGTTCTTCTTGATCAGCTACACATCCTTTCAGACCCACAGCGCTGAGTCGTCTTCTCACAGTGGAAGGATGGACAGAAACACCTGTGGATGTTTTCAGATCTGAAGCAGCTTGATTTTCTCCTCTCTCTCAGAGATGAAAGCTTTAAGTGCTGTTTATCTGATGGGGGCAGTTTTGGGGTCTAGCAGCTCTTCCAGGTGGTTGTTAGGAGACACAATTTCTCTGGAGCTTTGTTTTTTTTTTTCAGTTTTGGAAACTACTGACTTTTTCTTTATGCAAGAGTATTATCTTACATCTAATCTCCTCAGAAATATCTTCTTTACCTATTTTCCATGCACACAATAGAGAAATATTCAAGGCAGCTAAGGTCTTTGTGTAGTTGTGCTCTTTGAAAGGGAACATAATGTCAGTGACTCTTTTGGGAACAGCTTTTGTTGAGGAGACGCATATGTAACCCGTTGGATTTAAGATTGGAAAGACAGAGGTGGACACATTAAATACTGATAGGCAATTACACTCATACTATTACATTATACTTCTCTACAACATATAAATAAATTTGACATGTCTGTGTTGGTTTGTTGTGTGGTATGTATTGTTTCCTTTATTCATGCTTTACGCTTGTGGGTGAAAGCTGAGCTGCCAGACTGAGCTGCCCTCCTCTGAATGAGCGAGTGAGTGAATGTGTTTCTGGCCGACAGGGTGTATTCTCATGCAATCAGCCTTCAAGTCCTGCCTCCTGTTTTCTCCAGGGTGGGAGGACCGTGATCTTGTTTCCCTGACAACCATATCTTGGTGTTCTCATGTTCCCGGACAGGCGGCTGGAGGAAATGACACCTAATGGCCTTCTTCAGCCTTCTGTCAGATCTGTTTCTCCAACAGGCCACAGGGTCATAATCTGCCGTTTATAGTCGCCTCAGAATGACGGTCATATCTTAATATGGAAATGTATCTGCAAACTTGCGGTTCACAAGTGACTTCAGTGCCAAAACACGCTGTATGTCACAAGGGCTGACTTGATACTACACATGGCTGCTTCGAGAAGGCTTCTCTGTTTTCAGTCAGTAGCTGTCCAGGTCAGCAGGAAGGTGTGACAACGGTGTGATGATACAAACAGACGGGACACTTACTCTGATACAGCTTGTCTCGGGTGCTGTAGACTGCTGTGTATGGCACTCCAGGGCCTGGAGAAAAGAGAGGAGATGATTAGTACGCAGACTTAAACCTTGTATACTGTAGATTGCTTTGGTCAACCTTCCAGCCCCAAATGCAGTCCATCAAGACTTGTTTGGTGTCTGAAGTTTGTTCTCTTTATTTCTTTAGTCAGATAATGTAGCTAACAAACACAGGAAGAGTGTATCCACAAGTTAGCACTGTGTGAAGTTAAACCTGAATTTTGTCTGAACTTATTTTTGGTTAGGGGGTTGGGGCAATTTTCTCCCCAGTTAGTTTAGATAATTCCAGTTTTACTAGCTGGCTAGGGAGGGTCAACAAGGCTAACATGTTTCCTCCAAGACACATGAAGCGCCATTGCATCTTTTCAAACTAGCGCAAATGTAGTGTACTGCAGCTCAGCGAACTTGGAGGAGAAAGTTAACTGATAATTCTGTTACATCAGTGAACAGACGCCCATGTTGGATAGCATCCTGCTGAAAGACTATGGGGAGGGAGGACCACCCAGATAGAGGGAGAGAGGGGAGATATGCACTCTTGGGCCCAATCCCATTTCACCCCTCGCCACTACCACTTCGCCCTTAGCCCTCCATTTTGTGTGTTTACGTCTAGGGGTAGGGTGTCCTGATTCTTGTTGAGATAGAGGGGTGGGGCGAAGTGTTGGGGCTACATGACCCTCCAAACGGAGGTTTTTCAGAGACTCCAAACAGAGAGTTATGAGAAAAAAAGAAAAACCGGCAAGATGGAGAACAAGAGACCAAAGAAACCCACAAATGTATTTTCTCTGTTAAAACGTACGATAACCCCTGTATTATCTTAGTTTAATGTCGTTTCAATGTATTATGGTCCTTTACTTCATAACAAGCATAAAAAATTGCAAGTATTATGCTGATGTCTCTGTAGCTAGCTAAATTTCCAGCTCCACCTTAAATAGTCCAGCAGTTCTGACGCCTGAAGCTGCTGCTCCATTTAAAGTGGAACGGGAAAATTCGAACGAGAAGCTGGTGAATATCTGACTTCAGCTTCATATCACTGAAGAATTAGGGGTGGGTGATAATAAATAATTGCCCCCCTCTGTGAAGTCATATGATGCCCTAAATGTAACTAAAGCCCAGCAGTGAGGAGCTGAACTTTACCCTCCTCTGCTGTCACTGCAGACTGGCAGGGTCGCCTACAGAGCAGCGCTGGTAGCTGTTAATGAAGTGATGCTCTTTTTATTTGAGGGTCCCATTTCAGAGGGAAGATTTCAACCACTACCCTGTAACTCAGTTCCAAGGGTAGCAAGGTGACATGAAAACAAGGGGTAGGGGTAAAAATAAGAAATGGGATTGGGCCTTGGACTTCTGGCTACAGATGGCTTTGACATTGCCAAGAATCATACTCACAACTTCCCAATGATAATGAAATACTTAGATTAGTGTTTACCAACCCATCTACTTTCATGCAGAGTTTAGTTCCCACCTGCATCTGTTACCCCTCCTTACACTGTGGTTGGAACAAGACTTGCATGAAAGTAGATCTCCAGAACCAGAGTTGGTGAGCACAGGCTGAGATGTGTGGAGCCACTACTTTTGTCCATTTTTATAGATTACAGTGTGTTATACAGTGTCAGAAACCACACAAGCATTTCTATTAGAGATTATTTCCAGTCAAGTCAAAGTTTATTTATAAAGCGCTTTTTACAACAGGTGTTGCCACAAAGCAGCTTTACATAAAAATCCAGGTCCGAGCCCCCATGAGCGTCGCCAATGGTGACAGTGGCAAGGAAAAACTCCCTAAGAGCAGGAGGAAGAAACCTTGAAAGGAACCAAGACTCAAAAGGGGAAGCCATCCTCCTCTGGTCGACTCCAGATAGCAAACAATAACAGCAGAGAATGAGATTTGATCATAATTATTATCATAATTATTTAACAACTCCACATGGTTTGAGTGCAGTTTGATGATTCAGTTATACAGTTAACACAGTCAGTGAGGTGATAGCTCCCATTTCCTGCTAGCTACATACGCCTCACAGCTCCAGTGCAAAACACACATCTATATCTACACCTTCACCTGAAGCAAAAACAAAAAAAATCCTTTTATTATTCATTATATGCGCCAAAGAATCTACCATTACAATAAAATCACTGGCCAAACCCGACAGCCTCAGTGTAAAAGTTCTGGCGCTGTCAAATTACAGCAATTACAGTCTGTGTTGTGTCCTTGTCTCAGAGAGCTGCAGTGAGCCCTCGTGGCCGGGTCTGCGCTAAGTGCCACGCGATCATTATAGCAGGGCTCGGCCTGAGGCTCATCCAATTAATAACCCAAACGCCGGGCCGTCTACGTGCGCCACAGAGCCCGCTAAGCAGATCAGCGGCCATGGCAACCGGGCCTTTGGTGCACTGATCAAAAACATAGCAGGGAGAAAATGATGATTAATGCACTCAGAGCGGTGAAGTGGCACCGGGGCGAGACGAGCCGCTGCTCCGTGGCGACTACAAAACAAAATATAACTGCAACCTTCAGTTATCAAATATTGTCTTATTATCTATTTGTTTACCCACAGAGGGAAACTGCACTGAGGAGAAGAGGAGCAGTGCTCCTTTTCAAGGCAATCAGGTTCACAATTTACCCAGAAATCTGAAAAGCTCAGAGCAGCAAAGCATAAAAAGCTAAATCAAAAGAAATAAGAACCTTAATGCTGCAAACAGTGATTTCAGGCGATTGCTTAGTGATATTAATTTTTTTTACAATAAAAGACTGATTCCTCGTGGAACTATCTTACAGTAACATAGAATCTTTTTCAGCTACTGGAAGGTTTGCTTTACTGTTAATAAGATATCAAAAAGCTCTATTATTCCAGACAGTCAGAGGTTATGACAATTTTATTTGGCAACTGATGCATCTAATCCGTTTTTAAATCAGGCTACATTTGGCTAAACGTTCCTTTGTCAACTACAGGACCTCCCTTACCACTGATGCTTGGAATACAGAGTACAGTACTGCTGTATAGACTGTAATTACCTTTGACAAAGTGTGCATATCTGCATTAACAGACAAACATAAAAAATATGTATAAGGGAAACTGAGGAAGCCCAGCGTTTAATTCTCTAAGCAGAATTTTCTCTGTCTCAGTAGACACTGAGCGTAAACCCCAGACCAACGTCAGGAAGCTGCTGACCTTTACAGTTGAGGAGGAAGTAGTTGGAGTCCGGGCTGAACGAGCCGCTGACGTAGGTGCAGCTGAACTCGCAGGACAGGCAGCATCTGTTGAAGGAGCCTGTGGTGGACGCTCTAAAACACAACACGCTGGAATCAGCATCTTTATTTGAACATAATGGAGTATAAATCTGAGTACTACAGTCTGGTGTACCTGTACAGGTGTCGTCTTTTTGGATTGTCTTCTGTGCTCAGGAAATATCTGTGCATTGATGGATGAAGTTAGAAGAAGTTATAAAAGTCTCCAAGTGGGCCTAAAATAATCGACAGCCAAAATGGACAACTTCTCTTTTCACTTGGCTGTGGAAAAATGGCATTAAAGGGGAATTCTACATAATCTATAATCTAAATAAATGGTTAAGATATAAAGTTATTATATGAAATGGTTATAAATGCCTGAGACACTGTTTTATGATATTTTTGGCATAAGCTTTTAAGCTACAACGTACTTCTTTAAATCTATTTATGGTGGAGGGGTACATGCAGGGCACTGTAAGATGAAATTTTATCACTATATCATGAGGTTCACTGGTTGTTTTGGATAGTAAATAAAATGTCTATATTTGCATTGGAGACATTGCAACCCCTTGGTTCCTATCACCACCACTATAAAGAAATCTGAGTCAGTAAGTTTCTCTACCATGCAGTATAATATCAAATCACTACGGACGACTTTGTTAACATCTCAGCATTAATTATGGAAATTAATTATGCAGAAATTTTGAAAAGTGGGTGGAATTCCCCTTTAAATGGCTTAACAGTGTACTGTGTCCCAGTGAAAGGGGATGCTTACACAAGCTGTGTCTCCTCATTGTAGGCCAAAACCTCTGTGACATCCCAGTTGCCTGAGGTCAAGGACTGCAGCGTGTCTGAAGTGCTGTTGGGCTGAAACAGACAAGGAGACAAATTATGGTTGATAATAAAGCAATAAGCCTTGAGGAGCCGTGCATTACAGTGGTTTTCCCACAGTTAATAATAATAATAATTTTAATTTCTCATGCTCAAGGTTGCTGTACAAACGAAAATACATATAACAACACTAGCCACTACATTATAGCCTCAATCTGGAGGGCTGGAAGGGCTTTAAAGGAGAGTGAGGAGCAGAATCGAAGATTGTGGTAAAACGTTCCATAGTTTTGGGGCTATAACACTGAAAGATCTGCCCTCAGCAGCGACCAATTTAAATGTAGGCACAGCTAAGAGTCCAGAGCTAGAAGACCTCAGAGAGTGGACGGGGCAGGTGTCAGACAGCCAGTGTAACTTGTAGAGAATTGGGGTGATAAGAGCAGATATTTTAGAAAAAGAAACTGTATCGACTGAGCTTTGAATATATAGATATACTCAGAAGAGCAAAGTTCTGTGTGGAACTCATACTGTCAGTTTTATGTAGATTAAAAAAGGTCTGTAAGCTCACCTGGGAGGTGGACATGGAAATGTGGAAGAACTTTCCTCGGCCCCCCTGTGGCACTGCTCGGGTGAAGAAGAACCTGAGACCGTCCCTGGAGAACAGTGGGGCTTCGTTCTGTGCGGAACATGTTTGTTTGCGAGAGATGGATAGATTATAAACATTCAGATATGAAGTCGTATATTATCACTGTCAAAACTCCTATCTCCAAAATATTAACTTTACAGGAGAACTTTTAATGCAGCTTAATGTGACAAGATGTTATAAGAAATTTTGAAATTTGAAATTTTGGAGCATTTTTATTGTTTAGCATTGAATTCTGATACAATATAAAATACTGCTGGCCTTTTGAAAACGACAAAAATGGAGAGAGTGGTGATTTATCACGATATATGAAAATAAAAGTCATATTTAAGTCATACTTATAAAATGATGATTTATTTAAGGATGATATATCACTGTTATCGGAAGGAAACCTCATATCTCCAAAATGGTAACTTTACAGGAGAAGAAAAACCTACTTTAATTTTAAAGTAAGTCAATGGAACCAGAGCTTTTTCCAAGTCATTTTGGGTCGTTTCTTTTGGTCCAATCATCACGAAATTTACAAACAATGTAAAGGGCAACAGGCATTTTAAAATTATGTCAAAAACTGAAAAACAAAAATGGAGATACAAGGTTTTCTTCAGACAACAGCGATATGCAAATTAACAAATTTAAATATGACTTTTATTTACATAATTTTAACATGTCCTTTACTGGAAACAAACTTAAATATGCCTTTTTTATTTGTTGAGTTGGAAAAAATTAAAAACATAAAATATCAAATGTACCATAACTGTTGCACAGGCCACACTGTATGTTTTTTTGGTTAAATTCATCAAGTAAACAGTAATTGAGTATTAAGATCTGTTCTGTGCTCTTCAAGATGTGTTATTCTGACTCAGAAAATCAACAAACGTACTTTGATCGGGGGCATGCAAACTATATATATAAAGGACAGTAAGAAGTTACTGTTCAGTTAACAATAACCGAACTTAGTTGCATACGGAACAAAACTAAGGCTACTTCTAAAAGTATTAAGAAAACAAAGACAAAAAGAAGGGAGATTAATGTCTGAACTAATGATGTAATGATGAAGCAAAGCTAAATTAACATGTAATTAAGCCCAATATTACCCAGCACACTGAAACAACTCAGTCTTTAGTCATGTGAGATATCAGAGCCCTGAAGCTCAACACAGCAAACCAGCAAGGACCATGACGTTGATTTCACGATGTCAGTGTTTTCAGAAGGCCAGCCTTTACCCGTCCACACAAAAACAGGAAAACTAAGCTTTTTGCAAAAAGCTCCAGTCTCAGTGACCTAAAATGCTGTTCTCGTGTGAACTGGAGATCGAAACACAGAAAAAAAACATCACAGGTCTCTGTGGAGGAGATCAATGCCTGCCCCGGCCTCAAGTAGACTCATTATAGAGTCTAATGGCAGCTCAACAGGACAGCTCAAGAAGTCCTCTTGACTCTGTTGGCCTCCTTTAAACATCTGAACCACAGTGCGCCCTTCCGTGCTAAACCCACATGCAGTGAAGCCCCCCGGTGTCATGTGTCCCCACTCTGAGCTGAAAGCTGTTGACGTGTGATTCAGCCCGCTCTGACTCACCTGTCTGTGGAGCCAGCTCTCGCTCTCGTCCTCATGTTTCTGAAAGCACAGTGTTTGCTGAGTTAACATTCAGCTCTGTTTCCATCGAAGCTTTTCTCTTTTGTGTATGTAGAGCATTTTTTAGGGCATTTCAGGCCTGTTATCGCTACGTCTCAGTGATCTGCCTACTCCTTAGCAAAGGTCAGTAAAAGGGGCAGGAGAATGAAAACATTAGCAAGGAACCGATTCTCTCATCTCAGAAAGAGAGCTCTAATTAAGACGAAGGAATATGTTAATGTGGCATTTATGTATTTTGGTGGCAGCACAGCCACATCTTTCAGCTACTGGCTACAGGAGAGAAAGAAAGAGAGGAGGGGAGAGAGACCTTAGCATAACAAGCTTCTGTTATGCTGGCTAGCTAATATCTCCAGGCTGTAAGCTAGGCTGCAAGCTAATACCTCCAGGCTGCAAGGTAGTATCTATTAGCTAGTATCTGTATATTAGCTATGGCTAATATCTTAAGACTATAGCTAATATCTCCAGGCTGCAAGCTAGTATTTTCAGGCTACAAGCCATTATCTCTAGGTTGCAGCCAATGTCTCCAGGTTGCAAGCTAATATCTCAAGACTGTAGCTAATATCTCCAGGCTGCAGGCTAATATTTTAAGACTGTAGCTAATATCTCCAGGCTGCAAGCTACTATCGCAAGGCTATAGCTAATTTCACCAGGATGCAAGCCAACATTTCAAGGCTGCAAGCTAATGTCTCAAAGCTGCAGCTAATATCTCCAGGCTGCAAGATAATATCTCAAGGCAGGAGCTAATATCTCTAGGCTGCAAGCCAGCATTTTAAGGCTGCAAGCTAATGTCTTAAAGCTACAGCTTTTAACTTCAGGATGTAAGCTAATATCTCAAGGCTGCAAGTTAATATCTCCAGGCTGCATACCAATATTTCTAGGCTATAAGCTAATATCTCCAGGCTGCAGACTAATCTAGACTACAAGTTTATATCTACAGGCTGCATAGTGATCTCTCTAGACTATAAGCAAATATCTCCAGGCTGCGTGTTAATATGTCTAGGCTATAAGCTAATATCTCCAGGCTGCATACTAATATCTCTAGGCTGTAAGCAAATATCTCCAGGCTGCATATTAATATGTCTAGGCTATAAGCTAATATCGCCAGGCTGCATATTAATATGTCTAGGCTACAAGCTAATATCGCCAGGCTGCATACTAATGTCTTTAGGCTATAAGCTAATATCTCCAGGCTGCATATTAATATGTCTAGGCTACAAGCTAATATCGCCAGGCTGCATACTAATGTCTTTAGGCTATAAACTAATATCTCCAGGTACTATCAGGATTAAAGCAAATGAAAATGTGGTGGACTGTTCATCTGCAAAATGAGAGTGTGTATGCATGTTCAAGTCACCTTGGTGCAGATTCCTGTGGTTGCTTCACACAAGGTGAGGATGGAGTTGTTCTGTGCTCGGTTCAGCCAGTTCACTGCCAGTTTGGTGCTGGTGGCCCATTTCACCATGGTGATGTAATATTCTTTCCTAAAAGGGGATCACATTTTATACCACCACTAAAAAGCACATTGATGGGCTACAGTCTGTTTACAATTACAGCAGTTTTGCTGAGAGTGGACCATCACCCACTTATAGCCAGCCAAGAACAGCTCTCTGGTCAGATACAGGAGGGCGGAGACAAGCTGTGCATCAACAGATGGGCTACAGGCTCTACCCAGCTAACAAAATGACATCTATCCCTAGGATGGCTTGACGCTCTCAGAATAGCTTTGAAAGTGGTAAGGCCGTCATTTTGGAGGGTCCCATAGATGGTATAAAAGACGTCATCACAACATTCTGAGACTGTCCCCATTTATCCTTACCTGGAAGATATTTTTTCCTGCTCAAATGCTACTTTAGGACACCTAAAACCAACATACTAAGCCTGTTATTGAATACATTTCGGTCCATGATGCAATATGCTGTTTTAAACAGTGCCTGCAAAAGCAGGTGTCCGTTTGATGATAAATGTCCTCAGAATTTCGAAAATGATACGTCTTTTTAAAACATATAGCATGCTTGTTGGTCCTGCTTTGCTGGATAAGATTGGACACCCCTGGTGTAGAGGGGATCTGATAGATTGTATAGGAACAAATGGGATACAGTATATTTTTGTAAACCTACAAAGTGGACCTCACCACAGTGCTGGACATTCTGCTAATAAAACACTGATCCATTCACGCTGCATAATAGGCTATTTTGAACAGCAACCAAGGCCCAATCCCATTTCACCCCTCGCCACTACCACTTCGCCCTTAGCCCTCTGTTTTGCGCGTTCACGTCTAGGCGTAGGGTGTCCTGATTGTTGTTGAGATAGAGGGGTGGGGCGAAGTGTTGGGGCTACATGACCCTCCAAACAGAGGTTTTTCAGAGACTCCAAGTGTTATGAGAAAAAAAGAAAAACCGGCAAGATGGCTGAACAAGAGACCAAAGAAACCCACAAGTGTGAGAATTTTCTCTGTTAAAAAATTACGATAACCACTGTATTATCTTAGTTCAATTTAGTTTTAGTGTATTATGGTCGTTTTCCTCATAGCAAGCATAAAAAATCGCTAATAGCATGCTAATGTTTAAGTAGCTAGCTAACTTTCCCGTTCCACCTTAAATAGTCCAGCAGTTCTGACGCCTGAAGTGCCAAAATGTAAATGCTGCTCCATTTAAGGTGGAACGGAAAATTCAAACAAGAAGCTGGTGAATATCTGACTTCAGCTTCATATCACTGAAGAATTAGGGGTGGGTGATAATAAATAATTGCCCCCCCCCTTTGAAGGCATATGATGCCGTAAATGTAACTAAAGCCCAGCAGTGAGGAGCTGAACTTTACCCTCCTCTGCTGTCACTGCAGACTGGCAGGGTCGCCTACAGAGCAGCGCTGGTAGCTGTTAATGAAGTGATGCTCTTTTTATTTGAGGGTCTCATTTCAGAGGAAAGATTTCAACCACTACCCTGTAACTCAGTTCCAAGAGGTTAGGTTGACACTCGAAAACAAGGGGTAGGGGTAAAAATAAGAAATGGGATTGGGCCCAAATACAGTGTTGGCAGTAAGGGGCGTTAATAACTTATTAAAACATGTAACTCTTGTTGTAAAAAGCGGGGGGTTTATGAGAGGCTCTATGGAGCTCTTAATCAGAGTTAAAACTCACCACCTCATAGCACTTGGATAGCAGAGTAGGTCATGTTACAGCCTTAACTGTAGAGGCCTGTGGGTCAAACCCCTGCTTAGATAGTAACACTGGTATTTTTGTCTGTCTTGAGAAAACTCTCAACATTATGTTCGGTTTTCTCTGAAACATGATTACACTGTCTCTGTTCATAAGTGTGCAATATCCTGTAAACTGGTTTAATTAAAATTCATGTTGCCCTTCTTTAACCTTGTGTCCTTGACCTCCTGAAATGTCTCTAATGAACCTAAAGAACAGGCAGCTCTGGGCCCAATGTTGAAAGACTGGCAGCAGTGGTGGCTCAAACAGGGCTGAAAGAATATTTACCATCAGAATAACACAAAAACTCTTGGACCAGATGTACGTGTGTAACAAGACGCAGCGCAAAATACGCCATGATCTAGCAGCATTTCACGATCACAGTTTGCGTTATTGTTTCAGAACATTTTCTTTTTCTTAAATTTTCTCAGCTGGAACAAAATTACACCCCTGTAGAATGTTTGGTGCAAAAGTACTTCATTAACACTTCGTCACTCAACTTGCATTTCCTCTTTTGTGTTAGTGAATCAACTTTAATTTCAGATGCATTGTAAACACGGATTGTCGTCGCATCAAGGAACATGTAGCCCTCCACCTTAACACCACTGGGCAGGTTTAGCTTATACCTCTACAACAACACTGCTAAAGCACATAACAGCAATCATCTCTTAATGCCACGACCACAAGACAAAGATCAGCTTTAATATAACGTTTAATGAAATTCAGAGGGATATAACCAGACTCACCCAATCCTGGGGTCGTCAGGTTTCTTCATCCTGATTGTGTGGAGAGGGCCATTCAGATTGACCACTGACAGGTAGATCTCAGGGTTCTCCTCACCGGCCTGCACAAATAAGCAAATTAACACCACTTATTGTATGTTTCTTCAGCCATGTTCTAATAATAACAACAATAACACCAAAAACCTAATATTCACACTTTCTTTACATCATTTTGTGTTTTCCTTATAGCTGAAAGATGAACTGACAAAGTACAGTGGAATGAAACTTACAATAGAACTTATATTTATTCGGTGCATGATGCTTTTTAAAGAGTTTAGATTAAATTAGGGGAATAATTTAAAAATCTTGGCTCTCCATAGGTCTGAGTATTAGTACTACCACTCTTACTACAGCTACTGCTTCTCAAAAAAAAGATGGCTGAAGCTGAAGGGGTGGAGCCGTCTTGTGTTTGGGCTCAGAGACAGCTGACAAAGCCTGGCTGCTATACAAGCCTCTCTCTCATGATAAACCACAGTGTGTGATTAGAACACGTGAAACTGTGAAGTAGTGCTGGACGATACGGCCTCAAATCAATATCACGATTAACTGAATGTTTTACCTTGATTACGATAAATGAACAATTATTTTGTTTTTGTTTTTTTGTTTGTTTGTTTGTTTTTTTTGCCCTCATAGTTTTTTTACGGCTCGAACACATTCTGGGTGATGAGCCCAGCTGTCAGTCAGTGAAGCTTCATGAAGGCTCCTGTGATGCTGGTGAAGATGAAGCTGATCCTCTGGGAGCGACTGGCGCTCGTTGGCGGTCGTGATTGTTTACCTCTGGATGAGCCGTGAAGCAGCGTGACGCTCTGATCTTTTGCGTATGTGGGTCAGTTTAGGAGCTGATCTGTTCAGACTGATGTCGCATACAGATCACATTTAAAAGATAATCTGAACAGCCAGACAAAAAAATCAGATTTGGTGAGAAAATCAGATTTGGGCCACTTTTACCTGCTGTGTGAACACAGCCTTAGCTTCCATGTCGCAGAATGGATGTGGCGGAGTCATGTGACTACGTTTTAAGGGAACAGTACCTGAACACATGGAGTGGGGAAAGGATTTTTAAAAAACTGAAATAACCGACATGGGCAAGATTACGTTGGTTAGAGGTTCTGAATGTCGGTTTCGATTACTTTTCAATTAATCGCCCAGCCTTACTGTAAAGAGGGGGACAATCTGTCAAATAAAAAAAAAGTAAAACGAACAGGATGTGTGGATCACAAGATCATGGCCAGCCAGTATTGGTTTTCGGTCTTGTACCTTGCATACAGAGATTTCTCTGAATATTTTAATGATATTATGTACCGTAGATCAAGAAACCACAAGTTCTTTGCTAACCTAATTGTGAAATTGTTGTCATATTTGCCTGTGCAGTCTTTCACAGAGTGGTGAACCCCTCCCTATCTCTACTTCTGAAAGACTCAGCCTCTCTGAGATGCTCTTTTTATACCCCATCATGTTACTGACCTGTTGCCAATCAACCATCAGGCTCGTTTTTTTAGCATTACACAACGCTATCAGTCTTTTGTTGCCATGTTCTAAGTTTGTTGAAAGTTGTTGTTGGCATCAAATTCAATATGGGCACATATTTTTCAAAAAACAATACAATTTATCAGTTTCAACACTTGGCTGTATGTACCTAGACACCACAGTAAAGGCAATCTTCTAGCAAAGAGACGCAGCGCTCAGGAAGCGTCAGTTCACTATATTTACAACTGTACGGTGATATAGTAGGAAAATACTGAATTTGATCAATATCTAATTTTGGGTTAATAAACATAGATTTCTTAAAAAAATTCTGCTTTGGGCAAATTACACACGGGTACTACAATCACCGACGCTACTGTTAGTCTAATTATCTCATTTAATGACAGGTATGAGGCCCACACAACATGTAAGTAGCAAAAACACTCACTTTTGGGTATCGAAACTCTTGAGCATTTGGGTACAGGCTGCCAGTAAACATAGGCGTCTCCATCTTGGGCACCAAGGTGTCGTTGATGGTAGCGTAGGCCAGCCTGAGGCCATCTGGAGACCACCAGTGAGCAGTGTAACTCTGGAAAATCTCTTCTGCAATAAAGACACAAGTAAAAATATTACTCAGGTACATGTTCTGGTAACACTCTCTAAACCTAGTCCGGCAAATCATCAGAGTCTGGTAGGTTTTTGTTGCTCAATGCAGGTACAAAGCACATGCTTAACTGATACGCAAACTGACACAAATTTTGTGAAAACTCAGTGTCTTCACTGTTGTTATGGTGTCCAGAGCAGGCAACTGCTTGCTACTGGTGACCAGCTACCACTTAGCTTGATAGATAAAAGCTTGATTCTCATCAGGCTTATAAAAACTGGTGTAACACTTTATTTGGATAGTCCACTTTAGATGCTTTGTAGATACTTAATATGCTTTCAAGTTAGATTCAACTAAATATCTACTAAATTAACCATAATGTTCTTTAACTCTAAACCTGGCTGTAATCCTAATCCTAACCTTAACCTCGACCCAAAACCCAAATCCAATCCTCACCCTGGCCCTAGCCCTAACCCTGGTCCAAATCCTAACCCCAACCCCACCTCTGTTTAGAATCAACTGAGTTTCAACAAGAGTTTCAATAGTTTCAGATAGTTTGTTAACTTAAATTTGAACATCTGTAGATAATCTGTAGTGGAAGATCCAAATAAGGTGAGACCAAATCTGGTGTAAGAAAGTACAGAAGGCAGTGCTGATCACCAATCACAGTGTAACTCTGACAGTTATGGACCTCTTAACACGCAATGAATATTAGACAGTGCACCTCTGATGGCAGAGCTTCTGAGGACGAGACAACTCTAGCCCTAAGCTTCGTCTTTACAACTCTAGTCTCCTCATTCTCACTTTGTCCCTGTCCTTACTCTACTTTACACCCCTGACAGTGAACACTGAACTACTGAATAAAAAAACTACTCCAAATTTTTGGTAACATTTTTTAAAATATGACCGCCTGATTGTGGACTGTGTTCCAACTTCAAGAAAACAAGACATTATGATGTATCTTGTACTGTGATATAATTAATGGGCCTCATTCTCCAGTATCCTCCTAAGTTTGTTCTTAAATGTGTTCTTGTGAAAGGTCCTAAGAAAAAGTCTAGGTCAGATTTATGATGTGTTCTTAAAGCGCAGAACTGTTCAGACCTTTGTGGTCTTGAGTGTGTGTAGATTCTGTTCTTACCTAAGAACAAATCCCAAATAAGAAAACCTGGTGAATCAGAGTCTTTGTGTGAAAACTGTGTATGTGAGTTTAAGAATAAATTTCTTTTTAATTACGGTTGGTAAATGAGGCCCAGAGTCTTCAAGCATGGTGATGTTATATTTTGGCCATATTGCCCACACCTCTCAGAAACTCCGTGTTTGATAAACAATACTATTTGTAAGGTTTACAAACTAATTATTGGTTTTGAACAACTCCAAAGTGTAGTAGTTGTCTAAGGTTTCAGCTGAGACACAGTGAAAGTAGGTTTCCTGACAGAGCTGTGGACATAGATATGTAACAAAGAAAGAAATATCCTTTAAATAAACTCAAAGGACATGATGCAAAAACTAGAACTGCAACGTGAGCAAAAACAGGCACCATCCGTGATTTATTGTGGTCATTCGCCACCGCTCCCTCGCCTCAGGAGTCCCATTCATCACTCTATAAAGCTGACAGCCTCGCAGTCGGAGGGGAGGAACAGTCCCGGCCATATACTGGGGCTTGTAAAATATGACCGGCTACATCAGGGCAACATGATCTTCTGCAGCTTATCAGATAATTATGGACCAATTAAAGTTGGAGAAAGTGCAGGAAAAGGCTGGCAGGACTGAACGGTCTGAAAACAAAGATGGACAGAACTCACAGTTCTGGTTTGTGGTTATGTGCTGGGCAATACATCTTCAAAACTAGTATATCAGTATTGGTCACTAAGATTTATTTATATTCTATCAAGCATCATATCCATGATCATATTCTATTTCATAAAACAGTGTTGTCCCTGTTGCCAAGCATTCAACTATAAAATATAATGAATGAATGAATGAATAAATCCTAAAAAATAACAGTAAACGTTTCCTTTCTGTGTGCTTTTTGTGTACTTAACGTTTATAATACTGAGTAAGGTTACCTTTGGTGTCATTTTAACTAAACCCAACTAAATGGAAGTTGACTGTCTTGATTGCTAACAATGATTGACATATTAACCTTTTCAGCTCACCATTCAAAATCTACTAAAGAAAGAAAGAAAGAAATCAGAAAATGCACAAATAAAAACCAATTTTACTGCTCAAAAAAGGCGACTTTTCAGTTACAGTTTCTCTGTTCAGATTCATATTCTAAGAGAAAACCAAACACACGGTCAAAACCTGACTTCTCTGTCCACCGATTTTTCAGCCGAAAACCTAAAGTGCCAGTTTTAGCTGAAAATTTTCAGCGTCCAAGAAAAAAAAGGAAGAAAACTGTGCCAGGCCTACGGTAAAGTATAAAAATCTAAGACTTCACAAAAAATTGTAATGGTAAAGAGAATAAAAACCCTGGACTGATCAGTGCAGATGCCTTCCAATGTGGACCTACTTCATCGTTTCTAAGAGGGACATTTAACGAGATTTATAATCACTGTTCATGGCGAACATTACAAGCCTATCAAAAGTTTCTGTGAACACGCTGACGCCTGACTTTTTGAAATAATGAAAAATATTAACAAACGACAGAGCCGAAGTGTAGATAAAACTAAAAAAATATGAAATTCATGTAGTTGACCAACTGTCCTCTGTTTCGTTGCACATACTGTAGCCTTCACACTGATAGTTAGTACTAATATTAATAGTCACCTTTTTTTAGTCTAGGTTTTCAGCCCAGCATGACCTGAATTTTGAGTTAGTTTTCAGCCAAGAATCATTTTGGAATCATCATTAATTCTTAATTCTTTTATTAGAACAGCGGCATTTGCTCTGCTATTAGTGTCTGATTTGATCAGCTGGAGTAACCTTCAAAAAAACAGTGCACTGGAGCAGACTGACCTGCATGTTTATCAGATGGAAGATTACTGACCACTTACTTGACCATTTTTAGTCCATGGCTAAATTGAGCTTTGTAGATAAAGCATATATGTATATATAATGATATATATATATATATATAATGATATATATATATATATATATATATATATATATATATATATATATATGTATATAAATTTTCCAAAACATTGATTTAGTCAACTTTGTATGACTACTAACAGCATTAAGTGAAATTTGACATGAATGCACTGTTTAAATGCATCCTAGTTTCCAGCACAGAAGCTTCAGGGCTGTGAATATTGTTCGACTGTGCGCTTCAATTCAGTCAAACATTAACAGCAGCTCTCGGCAGCATAACTCCGTTCAAAAGCCTTGACCTTGTTTTTTAACCCATTCATATCCAACAACTAAATCATGAGAAAAAATGCCACATAACTTTGAAGAGTTTATTTACTAAAACAGATACCTCCATTTTAATGAATTTGCATAAATCTTTTTTTTATTTTGCATTCCAGGTAACATCAATCGAACTGCAGCCGAGTTGTTTTGATTACGTAAAAAATAGCTCAATAAAATATGTGTAGCGTACAAAATGTAACTTTTTTAAACTAAACTTTATTGAAAAATATATTTTTTTAATTTAAACTTTGTTTTTTTGCCTAAGCAGATAACTCCAATGGTCATTTTATGTCTCGGAGTTAAAGCCATTTAAAGTATACAAGCTACTTTAAGGTCAATATTTAACATTCTTTAACATAAATCAAGGAGGTAAAGAGCTGAAAACTGCAACAAAAAATGCCCATTAATAGTCAATATTAAACATCTATAAGATCAAACCTCAAAAAATCCTAAGGCTGAATCTCAAACGGCTCACTGCTCCCTGTATAGTGCACTATGTGAGTTATGAAATTTTGGCTTTTCCACCCAAATATTGGTCTTTATATCCAGTATGAATTGTGCTCCCATGGCTGAATCCAAAGTGGTTCTCTGTCAGACTCACTGTGCTCTGTTTAGATGCAGTAGCCGTTATTTTAAGACCTGCGTGCTGCACTTTGTAAGGAGAAGGGAGTCGTTTGAGATTCGGCGGCAGTACTGCGCCACCTGACCCGAATACTGCGTGCTGACTGGCTGAACAGATCGGGTTCTGCTGGAGAACAGCGCTGGCTGTTTCTTCTGTAAAACATGAACTTGCGACGCCTTGACATGGACAATAACAGCTTTTGTGACAAAACATATTTAGGGTTCAGAATGCTCTGTGTGTTAGAATGACTCACCACAGTCAGCTCGTTTTTAAGGATGGTGTTTATTGTTTTTTGCAAATGAACTTTTTACTTGTTCTGATTTAAGTAGTATTTTCTTTTCTTACATTTTTTTAATACTTTTATTCACAATCAAAGTAGGACTTTCTATTGTTTTATTAAAGTAGTATCAGTAGTCCCAAAAGACTGAATTAAAGCAGCAAATAATCACTTTACAGCGCTGATCTCTTTGAAAAAGTCTTTTGACTTGTGCTGTAGTGCTTGGACCCCGAATGGTTGCCACTTGATATATAGATGCTCGCTTAGCCTCCATAGCAGTTCCAGCCCACAGAAATACATGTGTTCTACATCAATTTCAGACACAAACTAAACAGGAGTTGATGGTCTTGGTTGCTAACAATGATTGACATGTTAAACTTTTCAGCTGACCATTCAAAATCTACTAAAGAAAGAAATCTGAATATATGAAAATAAAACTATTTTACTGCTCACGAAAGGTGACTTTCCAGTAACAGTGTTTTAGTTCTGATTCGCCCATAAGAATTAAATACTAATCTGTGGGCTGGCTGAATACTGACCGCTGCTGTGCTGTGTCTGGGAGGTGAGGAGGGTTCTCGATTCATGTGAACGCATTTCAAAATGGCAGATTAAAGGAAAAAAAGATTCCAAACTTTTGAACGGTAGTGCGCCTGCAAAGAGGTGCAGCACATGAGCACAGCTTTGTTCAAGGGAAGACCAGGGGGGTAAAAATCATTCAGCTCAAAGCGGTCAGCCTGTCG